CACAAAAGTTTAAAATTTTGATGAAGTCCACTTTCTCTATTTTTTTTGGTTGCTTGTGCTTTTGGTGTCATACCCAAAAAATCATTGCTAAATTACATGTCATGAAGCTTTTCCCTGATGTTTTATTCTAAGAGTTTTATAATTTTACCTTCTACATTTAAGTCTTTGATTCATTTTGATTTGATTTTTCCTTGTGGTATAAGGGCCCAATTTCATTTTTTGCATGTGTGCCTTTGGTTTTCTTGTTGCAAAGACGGTCTTTTCCCCATTGAATGATTTTGGCACACTTGTCAAAAATCATTTGACCATATGTGTTTAGTTCTGGGCTCTCTATTCTATTCCATTGGTCTATATGTTTATCTTTATGTCAGTACCACATCGTTATGATTACTGTAGCTTTGTTATAAAGCCAGGCAATGTATGTCCTTACTTTTTGTTTTTTTTCAAGATTGCTTTGTCTATTCATGGTCCCTTGAGATTACACATAACTTTGAGGTTTTTCTATTTTTGAAAAGAACCACAAAACTTTGCCCAGTTTTAATTGGGGTGTTTTCCTTTTACTGAGTTGTAGAGTTCTATATATTCTAGACAAGTACCTTATCAGATACAAGATTTGCAAAAATTTCCTGTAGGTTGCCTTTTCCCTTGACAGTATCCTTAAAAGCACAAAGGTCTTTAGTTTTGATGAAATTCATTCTATCTTTTTCTTTCATTGCCTGTGCTTTTGATAAATCTAAGAAAGCATTGCCTAATCTAAGGTAACAAGGTAACAAGACCTATGTTCTTCCTATGAGTTATAGTTTTGGGTCTTACTCTTTGGTCTTTGATCCATTCTGAGGTAACATTTCTATATATAGTGTGAGGTAGGGGTCCAACATCATTCTATTGCATGTGGATATCCAGTTTTCTTAGCCGCATTTGCTGAAAACAATTTTCTTTAACCCATTAAATGGTCCTGATTCATCAAAACCAAATTATCATGAAAGTCTTATTTCTGTACCTTCAATTCTATTCCATTAATCTGTCTATCCTTATACCAATAATATATGGTCTTGATGACTGTAGTTTCCCAGTTTTGAAATCAGAAAGTGTGAGTTCTCCAACTTCTTTCCTTTTTAAAGATTGTTTTGACTATTCTGGATCTCTTGAACTTCTGGTAAGAATTTTAGGATCAGCTTGTCGATTTTTGGAAATAAGCCAGATGAAACTTGATAGTGATGGAATTTGGATGTGTTGTCCCTGCCAAAACTCATATGGAAATCTGATCCCCAATGTGGCAGTGCTGGAAGCTGTTTGAGTCATGGGGGCAGATTCCTCATGAATGCATTAGAGCTCTCCCTATGAGGGGGGTAGTAATGAGTGAGTTCTTGCTCTGTTAGTTCCCACGAGAGCTGTTTAATAGACCCTGGCACCTCCTTTCCCTCTCTCGCTTCCTCTCACCATGTGATCTGCTTGTACCCACTGGCTGCCTGCCGCTTCCCACCATGAGTAGAAGCAGCTTGAGGCCCTTACCAGATGCAGCTGTCCCAGAATTGTAAGCCAAATAATACTCTGTTCTTTATACATTACCCAGTTTCAGGTATTTCTGTTACAGCAACACAAAACTGACTAATACAGATAGGAATTGCATTGAATTTGTAAATAGATTTTGAGAGAATTACTGTTTAAATATTTAGTTTTCCAACCATGCATGTCTTTCTATTCATTCTGGTCTTGTTTTCTTTCAACAATGTTTTGTAGTTTTTGGAGTCTACATCTTGTACTTGTCAAATTTACTTCTAAGTTTTTATTGTTTACATTTTGCTAATGGATGTGTTTTCTTGATTTCATTTTTGGATTGTTCATTTTAAGTGTATAGAAATACAACTGAGTTTTGCATACTCATCTTTTATCCTGAAACCTTGTTGATCTTGCTTATTATTTCTAAGTGTTTCAGTCTATTCCATACGATTTATATACAATACGATGTCATGAGCAAAGAAAGGTAATTTTATTTTTTCCTTTTCAATCTAGATGTTTTATTTTCTTACCTAATCACCCTGCGTAAAACCAGCACAATATTGAATAGAATGAGACTGGACATCCTTATTATTTTTATCTATTTATATATTTTTTAACTTCTCCATATACATTGTAGCTGATTTTTGTGTCCCTCTACCCATTTCTCCTTCCCCCCTCACTCCCCCCTACATCATAGCTGTCCACTTGTCTTAGCAAGTTCAAGGAATTGTTGTGATTGTTGTATTTTCTCCCTCCACTTTGTTTGTATATTCATTTTTAGTTCCCACAAATAAATGAGAATGTGGTATTTCCTTCTGTGCCTGACTTGTTTCACTTAATAGAATTTTCTCTAAGTCCATCCATATTGCGAATGGTAGTATTTCATTCTTTCTTATAGCAGAGTAGTATTCAGTTGTGTAGATAAGCCATCCAATTAAAATAGACAAAAGACTTGAATGGACTAAAATATATATCAACACTTGCAAAGGAGCTCAACATTATCAGTTTTCAGGGAAATGAAAATTAAAACCATAATGAAATGCCACTGCATATGCATGAGAATAACTAAAATTAAAAAGGTGAATTAGCAGAGTAGAATTCCATTGTGTAGATATACCACAGTTCCCTTAACCACTCATCTGATGATGGACATATGTGCTGGTTCCAACGCTTGGCTATTGTAAATAGTGCTGCAATAAACATGGGAGTACAGGTATCCTTCGGCATGATGATTTGCATTCCTCAGGATATATTCCTAACAGTGAAATAGCTGGGTCATATGGTAGATCTATCTGCAATTGTTTGAGGAACCTCCATACCATCTTCCATAAAGCCTGCACCATTTTGCAGTCCCACCAACAGTGCATAAGAGTTCCTTTTTCTCCACAGCCTTGCCAGCTTTATAATTCTCAGTCTTTTGGATATTAGCCATCCTAACTAGAGTAAGATGGTATCTCAAGGTGGTTTTGATTTGCATTTCTGAAATGCTGAGTGATGTTGAGCATTTTTTCATGTGTCTGCTGGCCATTTGTAAATCTTCCTTTGAGAAATGCCTACTCAGTTCCTTTGCCCACTTTTTAATTGGGTTATTTGTTTTTCTGCTGTAAAGTTGTTTGAGTTCCTTGCATATTCTGGATATTAATGTTTTTTGTTGTAAAGTTGTTTGAGTTCCTTGTATATTCTGGATATTAATCCTTTATCAGATGTATATTTTGTAAATATTTACTCCCACTCTGTTGGTTGTCTTTTCACTATGTTGATTGTTTCTTTTGCTATGCAGAAGCTTTTTAGTGTGATATTATCTTCTTTTTTCCCTTTGGTTGCCTGTGCTTTTGGGGTCATAGTCACGAAGTCTGTACCCATTCCTACTTTCTGGAGTGTTTCCCCTATGTTCTCTTTAAGGAGTTTTATTGTTTCAGGATGTATATTTAATTCTTTAATGCATTTTGAATTGATTTTGGTATATGGTGAGATGTACGGGTCTAGTTTCATTGTCCTACATATGCATATCCAGTTTTCCCAGCACCATTTACTGAAGAGGCAGTCTCTTCCCCAGTGTGTAGATTTGGTGCCTTTGTCAAAGATCAGATGGCTGTAGGTGTTTGGGTTGATTTCTGGGTTCTCTATTCTATGCCACTGATCTGTCTCTTTTTATGCCAGTACCATGCTGTTTTGGTTATTATAGCTTTGTAGTATAAAGTCAGGTAGTGTTATGCCTCCAGCTTTATTTTTTTTTTTTGCTCGATTGCATAGCTTTGTAGTATAAAGTCAGGTAGTGTTATGCCTCCAGCTTTATTTTTTTTTTTTGCTCAAGATTGCTTTGGCTATGTGTGGTCTTTTGTTACTCCATACAAATGTCTGTATAGTTCTTTCCATTTCTGAGAAAAATGTCATTGGAATTTTGATAGGGATTGCACTGAATCTGTAGATAACTTTGGGTAATATGGACATTCTCACAATGTTAATTATTCTGATCTGAGAGCATGGGATATCTTTCCACTTTCTTGTGTCCTCTTTAATTTCTCTCAGTAGTGGTTTGTAGTTCTCTTTGTAGATATTTTTCACATCCTTGGTTCACCCATTCCTTGTTCTTATTTTGGATTGACTTGTAACGTTCTTGATCTTTGAAATAATAGCATTAAGTCTTCCACCATTAAATATTTTAGCTTTTTTTAAAAAGATGACCAGTAAGGGGATCCTAAAACTTGACTGTGTTGTCAGCACCACACTCACCCAGTGAGCCAACCAGCCATCCATATATGGGATCTGAACCCATGGCCTTGGTGTTATTAGCACCACACTCTTCCGAGTGAGTCACGGGCCAGCCCAGGTTAAGTTCCTTTCTATTCACTGATGTTTTTTTTTTAAATCATGAAGGGGTGTTGAATTTTGTCAAATACATTTATTTGTGTCTATTGAGATGATCATACACTTTTGTCTTTTATTCTATTGAAATGGTTTACTACATTAATTGAGTTTTGGATGTTAAACCAATCTTGCATTCTTAGGATAAATCCCACTTGGTCATGATGTATTATCCTTTTTACATATTACTGGACTCCACTTACTAGTTTTTTGTTTTGTTTTGTTTTTTGGATTATTGCATCTATATTCATACACAATATACATGCTGGTATGTTTGAGGTTGTCCCAAAGATTTCAGTATGAAGCCTACCTATAAGGAAAATGGGTGTTCCCTTTAAGAAGTCTTTAAATTTTTTATGGTTCCATTTACTTTCTAACTTAGTTCACAATTATTATTAGTTGAAAAATGTGGTATATTTTCTTTCCCTCAGAAATAGTAGGAGGACACAGTATTTAGATTTTTGTTCTGCATACATAGAGTAAAAGGTGACAAAAAGTGAAATAGTAATAAATGACCTGATATAAAATGAAATAACTTTTTTCCAGTTGCAATATTAGAATTCTCTTCACATACAGTGATTAAAAGAGGGAATGAGGGTGGAAGAGTACTGTTCCTCTTCAGGAACAGACAATACTTATAAAACCTTAAATGTAATCTTTAATGAATAGCCATATGCATTATTATAAAGGGGTCATTATAAGTGATGTGGAGATGGCTACATGTCTTCTTAAGAATGCAACATCTTTTATCATACAGATTTCAAATACTCTTTGACTACACTTAAAAGCACTTTAAAAGAATAGAGCTACATCACCTAAAGACAACCAATAAATATATTTAGTTCTTCATCAACACAATAAGGTAACAACAATGATTAAAATACTTTCCCTCATATAGTCAAAATACCAATCTTTTCATTTACAAATTTGTAGGCAAATGTGTAATTACCAAATAATGTATATAGCACAGAAACCAAAAAAAGTGGTGTCTCGTTGTTATGATAATTTTTTCTAATACACATAATTATCAACACTTTATTATAAAAACCTACATATACAATTAATAAAGACTTTAAAATATATTCATAATAAAATGTGTAGAAAGAGACATTTCAAAGTCATAGCAGTTACTGCTATTACAATATTTAATCATTTTTACAATTGGTTTGTTGGTCCATTTCAATTATATTTGTTCCCAAACCATCACATTTCTTGCTGAATTTCATTTAGAGCAAAAGCAAGTTGCTTAATTTTTACTTCCATTGCTTTTTTGTTCTTGCATGTTTCTTCCAGAAGTCCACGCATTTCTTCTTCTACTCGATACACCTAAATTAATGTGTAAAGTTCACATTTCTTAAAAAAACTATTTTTGAAATGCATTCTGATAAAAAGTCAATTTATTTTTATGCATTTTGCAGTTTCTGATTCATTTAAAGCAACAAAGTTAGTAAAATGTAACTTGTTCAAATGCTAGTAGGGGAAATGCAATGCTTACACAATACTCAAAGTACTTTCATGTGATTCGTATTTTCTTTTAATTCTATTTTCCACCCTGAAGTACTCTCGTATGTGATCTGTTTAATTCTAAGACAGAAACCCAGTTATGACAATCTTTCTAGTGTCCTATGCTGCTTATGAATGCTGAGTCATGAGTTCACCTTAAACAGCAGTTCCTTACAGCTTTTCAAAGTTGAAATAACCTCCCTCCCTAAAGTAACTTTCTCTTTAATATGGTACCTACTGTATTTCTAGAAGTGCTGTTGGTGGTTATATGTTACGATCTTTTTGAGAGATCATCTTATTTATTTCTAACCTACATTATCATGATTCTCTGTATTTCATACTGTTAACTTTTGCAAAACCCTCTCTCCTATAATACCACAACATTCCTGATACTACTGCCACTATGACCATCCTTTTCTGTTTACTTGACTCTTCCCAAACCTTAATATAGATTTCCTAATCTCTTTTCCCTCAGAAAACTATTATTTCTCTTAATGTGAATTATCACCTCTATGTGATGCCTGAGATATTTTTCCCCCTCTAAATCTGATTATCACATTTAAGATCTGGTACTATTTCTCCAACTCTTTAACAAACACCTCCCCTTGATATTACTTCATATTGGCAGGAGGTCCAACATTGAACTCAGTATTTTTCTTTCAGCTAAGGGCCTAATCTTATACTTTATTTAGTATTACCTGATGTACCCTTGTTAAACACTTGGTAGATTTTAATTATCTGAAACATCTGTTGACCTGAAATGAAATAGAAAACTAAATTTTTGACAAGTTATACTTCCTTATTCATTGTGATTATTTCCAAAGACCTTACTCCCCATTTATCTTTGCATAGAATCCTGAGGGTAATGTCACTTAAACACACAACCTTGATTATAATTTCTATATGGAGCATTACTTTACCTTTCTGTTGCTTAAGTCTCTTCCAGCTGCTGATTTCTGAATCTCCAGTCTTACAGATACCTTAGTTTCTTATTATCACTTCAAAATCAGGAATAACAGAAATTCACAACTATCTCCTAATCCAGTACATTGCATCAGAGAAGTCACAACAGAAACACTTGTGGAATTTAAAAAGCCCCAGGTCTGACGCCAGACTTAGTGAATAAAAGTCTCTGAGAGTAAGTTCATGAATGTATATTATTAAAAAGTTTCAGAGGTGATTCTGATGTTTCCCTCTGATTCAGCATCACCCTAATTTCATTCTTTTGTCAATGATACCAACATGATAAAGCTGATAGTCTTGAACCCTAACTAATAATAAAGGACTCCTTCAGACCTTTTTCCAAGGTAACGATGGATTATGTCTAATACATTCACCCTGCTGATGTGTAAAAGGGACTCCTGTCCAAGATTGCTTAGAGATATGAAAATTTTTATCCAAAGATCATGGAGCAGGTGCACACCAGAATCAAACTTATAATTTTGGATTCATCATAATTATGTTCTACAACTAATCTAAGTATTACCAACATTTTAGCCTGGTATCATGATAGTTTTGGCAATATCCTTCATATCTATTTGGTCATGAAATCATGCTACCTTTTTTCTTTATAATTCTCAGTGAGCCAATTTATTTAGCTATAACCATTTAATACTGAATATCAAAGTAAATTTTGCTTACGGTACCTTTAAATTTGCAGAATCAATACATTTCTGTTTTTCATTTGACAGTTGTATTATTTCAGCTTGATGAGCTTCAACAATTGCATCAACTTGTTTTTTAAAGGCATCATCCATACTATGAAGCTTTTCTATTGCATCCCTTAAAAAAAACAACCCCCCCCCCGAACATATGTGAATATGTGGTGTGTGGGTGTGTGTGAATGTATAAATTAGAATGTCATTTCTTCTCAGATGGCAGCTCTTACATTCACACTTTAATAGAAACATAACTCAGTATTATGAAAATATCAAAGGATTATACAGTAACTAAAGATATAAGCAGTTCATCATCCAACACACTCTATTAAGAGAACAGATTAGGATAGTGTAACATCACTGGAAGTTTGTTATACTTTCAACCTCCAAAAGTTAGAGTACTCTGTTTCCCCATTTGAGTCTAAGGATATGGTTTATAAGCATTTTCACAGATGACTACTATCAATCTTTTTTTTTCCCTTGTATTTGCAATGTGATAATTTGAGAAGTACATACTACAGGATGGTTTAAGTTTATGAACATGTATTTCTGACTTCCTTATGCTAATGCATAATAGACAAAATCCTATGTTAATAAGTTTTCACAAAACTTTAGTGCTAAAAGTATCTTTACTTTAAGGTAAAAAAACCAATTCCTTTATATTAAATATGAATACTGCTATTAAAAAGTAAAGGCCAGATAATGAATGCATTTTCTTGTTTTGATATATCCACAATAATCACAGATTGAACAAGAGAACTATGAATCCAAAAACCTTCCTTATATTACACCACTTAGCAGATGTGGGACTAGGGACAAGTCTCAAACTGAGTTAAGATTTTTCAATTATAAGACAGGATAATCCTGCTTGTTTTGCCAACCTTACAGAATTACTGTTGGGTTCAAAATAAGATAAAATAAGAAATCAATTCAATTTATAAAATGTAAAAGCTATATAAATAAAACCTGTTTTTATTAATAATTTGGTTATTTTATTATAATTCCATTAAATTAAAAATTATATATACCAATATTAGACATAAAGTCATCAATGTATAAAATCTGCATTGTTTTGTTATGACATAATAAACAATGTACTGTAAAAGATTCTAAAACTTGTCAGTTTTTATTATTTTTATTAGATTTTTGCTAATTATAGGAAATGATTGTTTATTTTATAATCTGAATGACTCTCCAAATTATAAAGTTGCTACTGGCAGGATAGAAAATTGCAACAGGTTCCAAGCCAAGGTCCGTGCATTAGAGTGGTTGAAAGCAAAGTGGAACAGGATCCATTAACAGAAAAACAAGTAACTGTGCTATCAATCAATACTTTCTTTAGAGTATAACAGTACATTTTAACTCAGTGTAAATGGAAAAGTAAGAAACCAAATTCCAGGTTCTATTAGATTTGATATAACAGGGACCTACCTCTGTATGATACTTGTAGGCTATCCATATGCTATGTTTTCTATACCACTCTAAATCTTGTCATGAGAACTAATCATTAAACTATGTTACCTATTTTTTGAGGTACCTCAACTTTATAAATTATTTTAACAGGTGTAGTTATATAGTTTGAAAGGTAAAACCTTATTTTCTCTTGAGTATTTTATGGAATCCACACAATAATGGCAGCAAGGTACATATTTTCTTTCCTGTCTTGAAAATCAGCTTGTGCAGGCTGACTGCTATCTAAATCTGCTTTAGCCTCTTCAGCTCATTGCCCCTAGTAGTCAAATGAATTTCTCCTCTAAGCTCCATCTTACAGCAACCAAAAATATCACTAGCTGTTTTCAAACAGTTGAGTTTTAAAACAATAACTGTAGTAATAAAAACAAAAGGCTCAAACAATTACTGTGTCAGGCACTGTTCTAAGAACTATATAATTCATATAAACCACATATATTCATAAATACACGGGTACTTCAAAAAATCTGTGGAAAAACAGAATTGAAAAATAATACGAATCTTTTCATGAACTTTTTGAAGTACCCTCGTACACATATATAAAATTTCATTTTAAAGATAGAATGGAAATAAAATTCTTGGCAAATAACTATGTCCTACATGTTTTTTAGTCCCTCTTTCTTTATACATATCTCATCCATCCCAATTCAGCGTTTATACTTAAACAGACCCCACATTCTTCAGGATTTAATACTTACTTCTGTAGTTCAATACTTTTGTCTCTTTCTGCTTTAAGTTTCCTTTCTTTGTTTTCAAATTTTTCTTTCACTTCTCTTACTTGTGTTTCAAGATGACTCAGAAGTTCTCCTTTATCATGCCACTTCTGATTAAGGGTGCTAATATGAGAAAAAGTAATTTAAAAAGTAAATTTGGTATATGAAACTATTAAGCCACATTTCATTTCTCAGTGGGAAATACTGTGTAATACCTGTAAGCTTTTCTAATTTCTTCAAGTTCTAATTCCTTTACTTTCAACTGTTGTTTTAGTTTTTCTTTTCTTTCATTATGCCTTTCCAATTTCTCAAGTACATTATCTAGTTGTAAAGATTTTTCATCAAGTTGTTCTTGAGCACATTTTTCTATTTCAGTGATCTTTTCTTGTAATCTTTTGATTTGTTCGTCTTTTTCTTGTAAACACTTCAAGAAAAAAATCAGTATTTTTATTAACCTTAAATGTTTCATTGTTAATTATATATAGTTTATCCTTTAAAAGTATATTTTAAACACATAAAATGTTAATTTTCTTGTGACTCCTAACCTTTTATTGACACTATTTCCAGCTATCTCAAAGACTATTATAAAATTCTTCATAAAATTCATTTCAACTTAATATCACATAGCACTTTTAAGAGCAAAGGGGCAAATGTCATAAAAGAAAATACATATTAGTCCGTCCTAAATTCTACAACAGTTGGGAAACATTGAGATAAATGTTTTTTGTATACTTTGATCCATGGATTTTCAAATCTGCCATTTGCTCTTTTCCCAAAATAAAAAGTCAAACTTACATCTTTTAATTTTCTAATGGTTTCAGTTTGGTCTTCGACGATTTTGCTCTTTATTCTTAATGCATCACTATCACTTTCATTTGCTTTTCGCAGAGATTCATTCTCTCTACATAAACTTTCAATTTGGGCCTCTAATTTTCCACGATTCTGGGCTAGAGAAGATCCTAAGAAACAAATATCATCAGTTTCAAACTTTAACACACCTTGGAGGTTTTATATTTTATGAAAATCTAATTTAAAAATACATAATATAGTAAATAAAAACTGAATAAAGAAACAAAGTGGAAAGGGAGAGCAGACAAAAAGGCCTTCTAAACACTCGTGGCTATTTAAAAACCTAAAACCACAAATAAAGTCAAGAACAAATAACTCAGATATGTAATATTTAATTCATGTTATGGCATTCAAACAAACAAAATCATATTAAAAATTCCTACAGGGAATAAATAAATGAGCAGTATCCCATTAAGGCTAGCTATCCATAATTTTTATGGTACCTATGAATGCCATAAAACAGTGTGTATCTCTTACAGTGATTGGAAACGGAATGAGACTGAGGGCTTACCTAAACCTAAAATGGTTTTCATTCATACACTATTTTACATTTCTGCATGCACAATAAATGTTAGCAATATCTATAGATAAAAACTGAATGCTGCATACTGTACAAATGTTTTAAAATCAGCATATAAGAATTATTTTTAATGATTTAGCTGTAGTATTTTAAAATTATACATGGTTCAGAAAAGTGGCCAAATTATATTGAAAAAAAAACAAACAAAAAAAATCAGAGCTATATCTTCTCAATTGTTGTAATAAACTATTTCCCATTTCCTAAGAAGATTTCATTCCTGTTTGGCTTACTTATATCTTCCCAGATAAAGTATCATCTTTTTTTTCTTTGTGTCTCTAGGCAGAAATAAGCCCTTCCTTTTCCCTCCAATACCCAGATTTGTCAGTTTATAAGAATGTGCTATTTCCCTTAGAAAATTTAAGAATATTACCCTGCTGTGCCAGCTCATGTCCCCAGACTTTTCTTTCTGTCCTTAAACCAAAAATTAGTGATTCCTTGGCTGCTAGCTCAGAAATAAGCTGGATTTTTTCATGCTTGAGAAGTTCTATTTGAATACTTTTCTGCTTGTCATCTTCAATCAAAATTTCAATGGTGTTGATTTGATTCTGTAATACCCCCCCAAAAATTTGAAAAATAATTGCAGAGTAATTATATTTATGTGCTTCTTTATTTTCTATTTTTTGTATTTTATAATGAGAAAAAATGTTACTTAAGCAAATACAAAACCAATGTTTCCAAATTTTACATCAGAAGTTTCAATTTTATTAACTAAAGATAAATGTAGATCATGGAATAAAGTCAAAATACTCAAAATTTCTCACCAAGCCTTTATATCAAGTCTAAAAGTTTAAAATTGACACAACAGCAATAAAGATATCAAATTAAAATTTATTATAGCTAAATATGTCTAAAAACCACCACAACCATCACAAATTAGTGTGAGCAATCCAAGTGATGTCTGCCAAACTTCAACCATTTGAGCCTCACCTTAACAATTTTTTTTGTTATCACTGTACAACTAAATTAAAATTTATTATAGCTAAATATGTCTAAAAACCACCACAACCATCACAAATTAGTGTCAGCAATCCAAGTGATGTCTGCCAAACTTCAACCATTTGAGCCTCACCTTAACAATTTTTTTTGTTATCACTGTACAACCGGCACCTCTTTAATCAACATGTTTCTTAAAATTATTTCACATATTTTACTTTAATACTATT